TGTGTGTGTGTGTGTGTGTGTGTGTGTGTGTGTGTGTGTGTGTGTGTGTGTGTGTATTTAAAGAATCTTTGTGAAAATGTTTGTTAAAGAACTGAAACTAAACGTCGTCTTCTAGTTCAGATAATCAGATTCTTTTTATTTTAAAAACCAACTTTATTAAATGATTCAAATAAGAATCAGTTTACTTCAAACTATTGACTGTAAATTAAGATATAACGTCTCTGTCGCCCCCTGGTGTCTGGCTGCAGTACAGATCATAAACCTCCTCCATGTTAGCAGATGGGACCAAACTAAAGAATCGAAGTCGACGTTAAATGAATGTTTAAAGATGTTTCTGTCGTTTCAGCTCGTTCTTCTCTCTCTGATGTTCGTTCAAGTGTCTCTCATCAGTTTGGTTTAATTAGTTAATTGATGATGTAAAAACAGGCGGAGATGTGATGATTGACATGGCGTGTAGTTCATGTGTACTTGTACATGTCCAGATGAGGATGTTCTTCGTGCGATCAAAGTATTCCTCCGTACAAAGCGTATGAATCAACACAGGACCTTAGTGTGTGTTGTGGCCGTCCGCTGCGTCACGTCTCTAGAAGCGGGGTTGCTATGGGGACCACCCCGACTCCTTCAGGTTTTCCTTGAGTCGAGCGATGAACCGGAGCTTTGAGGCTCACGTGTTGGTGACGTGTGCGAACACTGACGTGAACAACGAGGGTGAAGTTCATCGCTATCCTTCTCAGTAAATACTGATGTTGGATCATCTAAAAAATACTGAATATAATGAAAACAATGATGAGTCAGGACCTGAACTCATCCTGACAATTACTTCATTTCTGCCTCGGAGACATTCCGATTTGTATTATTTTCTGTGTTTCCTTTTCTTTTTGACTTCCTGACTCTGTCTGTGCATTTAGCCCACAGCCTCATTAGTTTCTACTGAACACATGAATATTTGAAACAGCTCTCAAATATGTTGTTTCATTTATAAAAAGCTCAATTTCCTGAAACAGTCGGACACTTTAAGTATTTCACTCATCAAACAAGAGGAAAAGTGTATTTGTTGGGGCTGAATCCACGTTTGATGCTGTAGTGAGTGTTTGTAGCGGGGGGGGGGCACGGTGTCTGTCTTAACGTTGGGACGGTGACGCTCGATGATGCAAAATGAAAATTAGTAATTTACCTCAAATGCATTAAAGTAACGAGCCTGTTCTGAAAATATGAGGAGGACGTTCAAATATTCTGCTCAGGTTAAATACATAGCACCTGATAAAGTACTTGTACTTCGTTATTTCCCCGAAGAAGTTGTTCACTGTCCAAATCTTTCTGTGTGTAAAACTCCTTTTGCTGCTGTTCCCTCTTCTTTTGCTCCCTCCATCTTTCCCTCCTCCTCCATCTTTTCCTCTTCTTTGTTCCCTCTTCCTCCATCGTTCCCTCCTCGTTCCCTCGTTCCCTCCTCCTCCTCTGTCAGCCTGTAAGTGACACAGCTGAGCTTCTGTGAGCAGGAAGAAAGTTTGACTTCACTTAAAAGAACAAAGCCTTCATCATGGTCTAAACTTTGTGTGTGTGTGTGTGTGTGTGTGTGTGTGTGTGTGTGTGTGCGTGCAGGTGTCCATTGTGACAGTGTGTGTGAGGAGGGACGCTGGGGACCGAACTGTTCGTTCAGCTGCACCTGTGAGAACGGAGGCTCGTGCTCCCCAGAGGACGGATCCTGCGTCTGTGCTCCTGGATACCGAGGAACCAACTGCAGACGAGGTGAGAAAATACTACTCACACGTTGTACTTATACTTTCCCTGGTACACTGATGGTAGAAAAACTCAGATACAGAAATGTGCAACAGCACCGCTGAAAAAGATGAAAATGAATAGAATAAATAAAGTAGATTATAAATGAACTTTAATGTGAACTTTAAATGAAGTGATTAAAACCACGGATTCTCTTTTTTACTCAAAATGTAAATCGTGTGCGCTGCAGCCTCACGTGTCCCTGAGCAGAAACACTCTGTCTTTTAAAGAACAAGCTTCCTCGTGCTGGAAAGTTCGGCTCACTTTCATTTTATTATGATTTTACCACAAACCTGCAGGAATTAGATTCTGGTTTGTGAGAAGTGAAAAGTGCAGACGTGTCCGTGGTGCAGCTCGTGTCTCATTGACCTGTGAGCGCAGCGGACACTTACATTTATTTATGTCACACATTAAAAGACAACAGGAGTACAGATAAAGAGAATAACTGTGATGAGACATAAAAAATCAATGTTAGAAAGGGAACAGATAAAACTACAGTAGATAAAAACTAAATGCCACACAGTAGAGTTCACGCTCTGCCACAGAGCGTTGAATAAGTTTCACGACTGTTGGTGGAGGATGAACTCGATGACACCGGATCAGAGAACTCATTCCATTGGATCAAAGAGGTGGACACAGGAAGTTATCGCTTTATTGAACATTAATGTTTTTCACTATACTTCCTAATGATTCACATTCATACAGATATTCTGTGTTATTATATATATATATTATATTATATATTATATTTATGGGACTGACATGATTTGCTGATTAAATTCAAGGTTATCGTCTCGACTGAGTGACTGACTGAAACATCTCCATATGCAAAATAACCCAAAGGTCAGAGCCAACAAAAGTAAGGGTTCCGTCCCCTCTGGATTTAAAGACGTCTCTGAACGTCTCTGAACGTCTCCTCTCGTCTCTGAACGTCTCTGAAAGTGGAAAATATCCTCAAGTCCCTTCAATTCTCGCAGCGAGTTCAAACACTATAAATTCCCTCAGTGTGGAGGCTCGCACTCGACCTTGGAAACACACTGTTGAAAGAAAAACTCCAATTGTGAGCTCAGGGGATGAAGCTCGAAGGTGAAGACTTCTCTCCCGTCGTTATTTCAAACATAAAACACTGAAACCCACCGATCAGTTTCTGGTGTATTTTAAAAACACATCATCAGTTCTGTTGTTTTCACTGCATCTGAAAAACGACCCTGTGGTTCACTTGACTTCTGGTTCTAACTCAGATCTTTTCACCGTTTCATCCTCGTCTCTAATCAGGTTCAGTTTAACTCGATCTGTGTTTGTTCATCTCATAACCCTCTTACCTGTGTGTGTGTGTGTCTGTGTGTGTGTCTGTGTGTGTGTGTCTGTGTGTGTGTCTGTGTGTGCAGCCTGTTCCCCTGGTTTCTATGGTCACCGCTGCAGCCAGTCGTGTCCTCAGTGTCTCCACAGTGACGGAGCGTGTCACCATGTCACCGGACACTGTGAATGTCTCTCTGGATTCTTCGGCTCCCTCTGCAACCAAGGTGTGTGTACGTGTGTGTGTACTTTGTGTGTGTGTGTACGTGTATGTTTGTGTACTTTGTGTGTGTGTACGTGTATGTACTTTGTGTGTGTGTACGTGTATGTKTGTGTACTTTGTGTGTGTCAGTAATAACAGTGAACGCTCTGGATCTTGTAAATGTTCTGATCGTTATTGACGAACACGACCTGTGAACAGCTCAACCTCTGAGGTGACGTCCTCTTGGCTGTGATCTCTTTGAAAGATGAAACCTTGAGCGAGTTCTCTCTTTTCAAATCTTTTCATCTGATCTGAGTGTTTTGCTGTTTTCCTCCTCCACCAGGTATTTGCTGCGGTTCAGCTCCCGCAGGTTAAACAGGTTTTTAATTCTCGGCCCAAGGTTTGTGCCAAGTGGAATTTTAAATAGAGACGGTGGAGAATGATGTGAAATATTCATCATCATTAAACATGAACACGGCCTCAGTCATGCTCTGTTCCACATTAACCATTCTGCTGGCCGCTGCATCTTTGAGGAGGCCCGTAGAAGACTGGATGATAAATCAGGTGTCCAGCACTCAGGCTGTTAGCTGCTGCTCCGGCCCGGTTCTCTCACTGCCGCAGAACCCTTTGTACGAGCTAACGGGATTATTGACTCGTCAACTCTTCAGGGGTCCGTGACGTCTGAGAGGAAAACAACTCGCCGTGTGTTTGTTAGAGCTAATTGTTGAATGAGGCCGAATCGGATTTCACCTCTTCAATGGAGAAATCAAAGTTCTTCTTCAGGTGGAAACTTACCAAGATTTCAAAATGTAAATTACCCACAAGGCCTCAGGTCCGTTTACATTCCTGTTCACGCCATCACATGCACAGTGCACGTGAGCGGTCACGTGATTTGCGTTTGGACGGAGATTCAAATGACTCACATCGAGTACCAGGGCGGAGCCGGAAACTGCCGACAGACGGAGACTTTAAACGTTGTGGTTCATCCTCTGAGGAGCATGAACCAACAGTAGCTGTCGGCTGCTGTTGGTTCATTTGCGACCTCCGAGCGGAGCCACATGTAATAAGAACTAAAGTGTGAGCAGAGCAAAGAGACGCTCCTCAGGGAGCCGGCTCACGGTCCCTCTCCTGCTAATTATCTTCGCTGACTCCTCCTGGTCTCCGTCCAAATGACTTTGATCCCAACGTCGCAGACACTGGTCATATGTTGGTAACTGTTACGTAAGTGCAGACCTTCGTCAAAGCTTTAATAATTATCTTTATGTCGTTATCTTCTCGGTAGACTTGCTCTCCTGGGTTGTACACGGTGGACTAACGGGTTTTACAAGCACAGAAGTTAATCAAGACAATAAACTTTATGCAACAGTCGGAAAATGTAGTAAAATCCATATAGAAGAGTGATGTACAGTATAAAGCTTGTGTACTTATATTAGATTTTTGTCTTATCCTAATTATAACTGTTATAATTATAATTTTTTAATATTGTGATGTTGAATATTAAATGCTTCAGCTTCAGCCTGAGCGTAAATATTAAATATATAAAATACTATCAGCACTCAACTGATGAACCTGAACACTTCTTGGATTTGATTTCTTAAGAAGCAACGTTTCCTCATGTTAACTGACGATAATCCTAAACCCCAGAGCACAGGGACATTATCAGAGTCATCAGAGTGACTGTATCTCAATATGTCATCAGCGTAACTACATTTGGTGGAAATCTTAA